GTTTAGAGGTTTGTGAGTGGGGTCTTGGAGTAGATTGGATAGTTTGGCTTGGTAGTCAGACATGTTCATCACCATTGTGGCGTTACCTTTGTCTGCTGGGAGAATGATAATATTATTTCTTCAGGTTGGTGAGTGCTATTTCTTCTTGTTGCTAAGTTGCTTCTGGGTGGATTACTGGAGCAAAGGACATTGCTGACTGCAAGCCTGATTTTATTGGCTTCATCTGGGCTGATTTTGGTGAGTGTTATTATGGAAGCTATTGAAACTGAGAAACACCCCCACACCATGTATAAACGTGCCGATACCCCCTGCCTACCAGACATCGGGAAACAAGCCCTAGTCAACAAATGAGCCCCACCCACCACCCAGGCCGTTACAACACGAAACAACAATAGACACACAGCCAGCACCAATCAGCACCAATCCACCAATCATGATACAACCACACAACCAATCATTCCACTTACTGAAACAAAGCCAGCATTCCACACACACACCACCATCATGATTTATAGAAAGGCGGCAGCTCCGATCACACTTTAAGCCTAAGACCCAGCCTGATGATGGCGAGTGAGACCTCGCCGAAACGTTGCCAAGACAATCTCAATCTTACACGGGGAAAAGACCCGAATACAAAACTTCTTGGAATTCACTATCACGAGCTACGGGCAGTCCTCGACTTACGAACCACAACTGAGCCCAGCATTACTGTTGCCAAGCAAGGCAAAAATCAGTTTTGCCCCATTCTATGACCTTCCTTACCACAGTTATTAAATGAATCACTGCCGTTGTTAAGCCAGTAACATGGGTTGTTAAGTGAATGTGGCTTCCCCATTGACCTCTGCTGGTTGCAAAATGGGATCACGTAACCTCCTGCGGCCGTCGTAAATACGAGCCATTTGCCAAGCATTTGTAGTTTGGTCGTATGACCACGAGGAGGCTGCAGTGATCGTGTGATCGTTTTCTGCTGGTGTTAAGCAGATCCCGTCCTTACGATGGGAACTAGAAAAAAACGTTGTAAATTGTAGACATGTGGCCTTTAAGACTGGGTCATAAATATCTTTTCTTAAGGTTAATCGTAACTTTGAACAGTTGCTAAGTGGCCAGTCATAAGTTGAGGACCATCTGTATTCAGCCACAAATACTTCTCCCACATGTACAGGTAGTCCTTGACTTACAACAGTTTGTTTAGTGACAAAGTTGCAACGGCACTGAAAAAAGTTGACATACAACCATTTTTCACAGTTACGACCTTTGCCTATAATCATGGGATCAAAACTCAGACGCTTGGCAACTGGTTTCATATTTATGACGGTCGCGGCGTCCGGGGGGGGGGGAGGCATGTGATCAACTTTTACGACCGTCTGGCAAGCAAAGTCCATGGGGAAGCTAGATTCACTTTACAACCGGGTTCCTAAATTATCAGCTGTGGCGATTCACTTAACAACGGAAGCAAGAAAGGTTGTAGGAGGGGGCCAAAACCCAATTAACAAATGTCTTACTTAACAACAGAAATGCTGGGCTCAATTGTGATCGTAAGTCGAGGGCTACCTGTGGAACTAAACACTCGCTCTGTTCGGGGATGACCCTTTTATACAAATTTAACGCCAGTTTTCTAAAACTAATTTTTAGATTTGTGTAATACAAAATAGAAAACTGACAACTGAGGCACTTGGAAACGGGCAGCGGGATCTGCAAAGCTGAATAAATTCGAGAACGCCTTCAGCTGGTCTCGAAAAAGAGACTGTGGTCTCCCTTTTTTAAAATCAAAGCGCTGCAAGACGGCACCAGAACAAAGGAAGATTAACCACACCAGAAAAACAATATTGCAAAAATTTAGCTAATTTGTCTGTCTGGACTGGCGAAAGGAATTCTAGCAGCCGGTAAGATTATCCTGGCCACACACACAAACGCACCGAGAAATTTCTACACATGACAGAAGTTGGGACTGACACACTGTTTACTAATAAACACCTAATACACTCATTTACACACAGGCGAAGGGAGAATTCGGGATGACGCATGTTCCCAATTTGTTAACAGCAGCCTGATCTTAATTCCCCCCCCCCACTACAAAGTTAAGTCCAATCCATCAACTTGCAAGAAAACCAACTCATTATAAGCCACATCTGGACGGGGAGGATTGATATAGGAAATATAACATGGGTGGAGATGCAGAGGTTGGGGCTCAACTCCCCCCTCCCCCTTACAAGATTAAACCCAGAGATGCAGCGAAGTCTCCAAATGAGGAAGACCATTTGGGGAGGGTCTCGAGTCTACTCACGCGTGGTGTTGTACTTGACTCCGTTGACGAATTCGGGGCAAGGTCTCTCCACCAGATCCCCGGCGCTGCTTCGTGGCCAGCAGGTCCCAATCTGGTCCATGGTGGCCCGACAGGACGGACCTTAACGCCCCGCAAGGAGGAGGAGGAGGAGGAGAAGCGAAGGAAGGAAGAAGAAATAAAGAGAAAAGAAATAAAGAAATAAATTCATCCCAGCTCCGGTGCAAAGCTGTGCAAAGTGAGATTGTCCACCCCGCCAGCTCCCCGCCTCTGTCCCGTGCCCCCGCTCTCCTTCTTCCACCCTACCCTCAAAGCTCTCCTGCAGGGCATCCAAAAGGCTGCAGTTGACGTCCCAATCCTCGATGAAAAAGTGGAGAATGGTGGTTTTATTCATGGTGAATATCTTGGCAAGGATGCTGACTTTCCCCAGGTGGGATCCGCTTCTGTCCTGCCGCCTTTCGCGGTTCGGAATTAAAGCCAAGCTGCTTGTCAAGGTTTCTGGAGGTGCATCTCTCCCTCCTTCCCTCTCTCTCTCCCCCCCCCCGCACTCCGCACCCCCTCCCACTGCTCAGCGCTTCTGAGTCTTAGAGGGTGGGCAGGCGGTTAGATGGCGAGGAAGCTTTCTTGCTCCTTCTTAAGCCAGCAGGAGGGGAACCAATAACGCGGCAGGAACTCCCAGCAAGGGGCTTTCGGCCCCACCCGCAGAGCCTCGCCCCCCTCCCCTTCAGCAGCCCCACAAGCTGGCAATTGGCTGAGAGGGCTAATCAACTTCTCCCCCTTTGGTGGGGAAGAAGGGGGGGGGAGTCCCGTGTGTGTGTGTTTGTGTGCGTGCGCCGTACACCCAGTGTTCTCATTTGCTTTGACGATTCCGTTTTTTCCAGCAGGGAGTCCTCAAGGCAACGGGGCGGCTGGGGGGGGGGGTCTGACTGAGAGGGAGACCGAAGGGAAAGGGGGTCTTCTTTTTCTAGGCGACTGGGCCAGTTTGGGGTGGGGGGCGAACCAGGGAAGGAATTTGGAGGAAGGAAGATTTTCTGCACATGCTCAATCGTGCTCTACTACAACAAGGACAAATTCTTTCTGTGTCCAATCATACTTGGCCAATAAAGGATTCTATTCTATTCTATTCTCTATTCTATTCTCTATTCTATTCTCTTTCTCTATTCTATTCTCTATTCTATTCTAGTCTCTATTCTATTTCTACATTCTATTCCCTATTCTAGTCTCTATTTTTACATTCTATTCTCTATTTTATTCTAGTCTCTATTCTATTTCTACATTCTATTCTCTATTCTCTATTCTCTTCTCTATTCTATTTCTATATTCTATTATATTATATTCGCAATTCTATTCATTTCTATATTCTATTCTATATTCTATTCTATTTTTACTTTCTATTCTATATCCTCCTATTCTAGTCTATTCATTTCTATATTCTATTCTATTATTCTATATTCTATTCTATATTCTATTCTATTGTATTCTATTTTCTATTCTATTCTCTATTCTGTTCTATTTCTATTCTATTTTCTATTCTGTTCTATATTCTATTCTCTATTCTATTCTGTCTGTTCTATTCTATTTTCTATTCTGTTCTGTTCTACTTTGGAGGCACCGAGGTTGAAGAGTCACAGTGGTGGAAGAGACAACCCTTTGTCTCTGAAGCTCAACCTAGCCTACTTCACAGGGTTGTTGTTGGGGGAAGAGAAGGAGTGCTGTTTTGTTGTACTAAGCATTGAGAAGGAAAGAAGCACAGAATCCGACTAACAAGGAGAATGAATCCAGCTCAGTATTTCTCAGCCTGAACAACTTTGAATTCTGGGAGTTGAAGTCCACACGTTTCCTAGGGAATTCTGGGGTTCGTCTCTATGCATGGTGGCTGGGAAATTCGGGGAAGCTGAAATTTAGGCATGTTGCCAGAAAACTTCTGTGAGTTGACGATCAGGCGAGGTGGCTGAGAAATTTTGGGAATTGAAGTTCATGCAAGCTGGCTGGGGAATTCTGGGAGTTGAAGTCCACACATCTTAAAGTCGCTAAGACACTTATCTATGGTAGCTGCCCCAGGAATGGACATCTTAAGTCTGGTGGGTAGCCTGATATTTAAGGCCACGGGTGTCCGCTTAAATTTCTCCAACAATTTGCTTTTTATTAAATGTGTTTCCCCCTCCCCCGTCTCATCTTTAGAATTCTCTCTTTAACTTAAAGCACTGGGATCTCTTTGTGGCCTCCCATCCAGTCTTATCCCTGCTCAGTTTTGATCTCAGAAAAAGATTGGCTTTTAAGGTGATACAGATTGTGTTTAACTTAATTACATTTAATTGAAAAGCAATAGCAGGCATTTTAATAGTTTGATTTGGATCCACCGACTTTTCGGAGGTATGTTTCCAGGCCAAGTGGACCTGGATGTGAAGTGCCCATCTTTCCTTAAGGAGTGAACACAATTTCCCCAGCGCTGAGTTTGTCCTCTTTTCTTTTTATTATGACACTAAAATATAAGTAACTTTTATTTGCCAGAATATAAAGATGTTGCGCTAGATAGAAAGAGTGCAGAGAAGAACACCAAAGATGATTGGGTAAGGTGAAGGTTAAAAACTCCCCTCACACATATGTGCTAGTCGTTCCCGACTCTAGGGGGCGGTGCGCATCTCCGTTTCAAAGTCAAAGAGCCAGTGCTGTCCGAAGATATCTCCATGGTCATTTGGCCGCTAAGACTAAACTTCGAAGGCTATTACCTTCCCACCAAAGGTGGTTCCTATTTTTCTTCTTGCATTTTTTACGTGCTTTCAAACTGCTAGGATGGCAGAAGCTGGGACAAGTCACGGGAGCTCACTCCGTTACTTCGAACCACCGAACTGCCGACCTTTCTGATCGACCCGCTCAGTGTCTTAGACACTGAGCCACCATGTCCCTAGTAATTGGGTATGTTTATCGTAAAGAAATGGAAGACTAGGGGTGACATGATCGCACTCTTCCAATATTTGAGGGGCTGCCCCAAGGAAGAGGGAGTCAAGCTATTCTCCAAAGTACCCGAAGGCAGAACAAGAAGCAACGGATGGAAACTAATCAAGGGGAGAAGCAACTTAGAACTGAGGAGAAAGTTCCTGTCGGTAAGAAAAATTAATCAATGGAACAATTTGCCTCCAGAAGTTGTAAAGGCTCCAATACTGGAGGTTTTTAAGGTTAGCCATTTGAATTGGTGTAGTATAGAGCAGGGGTCTCCAACTTTGGCAACTTTTAAGGTTTGTGGACTTCAACTCCCAGAATTCCTCAGCCTGGCTGAGGAATTCTGGGAGTTGAAGTCCACAAGCCTTAAAGTTGCCGGAGTTGGAGACCCCTGGTATAGAGCAGTGTTTCTCAACCTTGGCAACTTGAAGATGTCTGGACTTCAACTCCCAGAATTCCTCAGCCTGGCTGAGGAATTCTGGGAGTTGAAGTCCANCCCAGGCTGCCAAGTTACTACTTATTTGACCGAACCGGTAGGAACCCACCTCTGGTATCAAGTCCAGTGAGTTTCTTTCGGCTCCCCTTTGGGGTTGACGCATGATAAACATTGACCTACAAAGGACTATTTTTCTTATTTTGGCTTGGTTTGCAATGATGGATGGATGGATGGAGTCTTGACGTCACCTGGTTTTGGGTCGATGTTGGGGGCTCAAGACCCCGGACAGCACCTCGGAGTTTGAGGGAGCTGGTAGAGTTCTTTAAAGAGGATTCGGGTTAATGCCAGGTTTCCAAGTATCACCCTCAACGAAAGACGACTCTGAGGCTTGACTTTCCTCAAAGTTCCATTTTATTAGAGATGTCACATTGGCACATCTGGGAAAACCCAAATCTGAAAGCTCCCAAGTTTTCCCCACCTGAACGAAAGTTCAAGTCCCTGCCCAGCACCCACATGTCCATCCCATGGCCCAATCAGGCACTGTCCAAAACTGGAGAGGCCTCCCAGTCACACCATAGCAGCTGCAGGGCAAGACGTCCTTGACTCTCTGAGAAAATGTTATTTTGACTACATATCTCCCTATAATCCCAGTTTCCCACAACAATAAAGGCTGCAGGCTTGAGTGCAAAAGATGGCTTCCAGCACTAACAAAATGTTGATTTTATTTTTCATGTTTTCCCTAGGTGGCTGATGCCTATCGGGCTCCTGTACGAGTAAGTAAGGTTTGTTGGGGATTTATTTATTTTTTTAATCTACTTTTTATTTTCAAAAATCGAGGGGGGGAGGGGAAATGACGCAGATAAAAAACTATTTGTAATGCTTCCCTTAAAAGAAGAGGTGAGATGATAAGAGTGCCGCTAGCCTCAACGGTTGTAAATGGACAATATTAGGCAGTCTGATGTACACATCATAGGGACGCGGTGGCTCAGTGGCTAAGGCTCTGAGCTTGCCAATCAGAAAGGTCGGCAGTTCAACGGTTCGAATCCCTAGTGCTGCGTAACGGCGTGAGCTCCCGTGACTTGTCCCAGATTCTGCCAACCTAACAGTTCTAAAGCACGTAAAGCAAGTAGAAAAATAGGAGCCACCTTTGGTGGGAAGGGAACAGCGTTCCGTGCGCCTTCGTCGTTGAATCATGCCGGCCACATGACCACGGAGGCGTCTTCGGACAATGCTGGCTCTTCGACTTTGAAACGGAGATGAGCACCACCCCCTAGAGCCGGGAACGACTAGCACATATGTGCAAGAGGAACCTTTAGTTTTACCTAATGTGCACATTAGAGCAGCCTTTAAATCAAAATAATTTCAAGTAGTCCTCGACTTACAACAGTTTAGTGGCTGTTTGAAGTTTCGACAGCGCTGAAAAAAGCAACTTACTGATTTTCACGCTGAACGGCCTTTGGCGTATCCGTGTATCAAAATTTCAAACCCTTGGCAATGAACTCATGACTTTGTGACACTTGCTGGGATCCAGGGATCCCCTTCTGCGACCTTCTCACAAGCCGATGAGGAAGCCGAAATCACGTCCCCGTTTTATGACCTTTCCCGCCATGGGCGTTAAGCAAATCAATGCAGTGGTCGTTAAGTGAACCGGACTTCCTCGACAGACTTTGCTTCTCAGAAGATCGCAAAAATGGGATCACGTGATCCCCAGGATCTCTGCAACCATCATAAATATGAGTTCGTTGCCAACTTGCTGAGCAAATGTCTCACTTACCAACAGAATTCTGGTCATAATCAGTTGCACAAAGGAGAGAGAGGGAGGGAGGGAGGATTTAATTTAAAATTAAAATCCTTGTTTTATTACAGAAGCCCGGGAAATGGTGTGCTGTCCATGTACAAATTGCTTGGCAGATCTACCATCACCAACAGAAGATAAAGGTAATCAAGCAGATTTATTCAGAAAACCAGAGGATTCCTCTTCTGGTTTTGAGACTGACATTCCTGTTCTCACCGCCCCTGATTTCCTAAGGTTCTCCATTTTTCACACTGTTGCTTTCCCCTCTGTAAAGGACAGAATGCATTAAGCCTTTCTATCTTCAAATAACTAGTTTAGACCAGAGGTGGGTTCGTACCGGTTCAGCCAAACGGGTAGTGGTTTGGTGGCCTGGGTCGCTGGAACCGGCAGCGGCCCATGCCTGCCACGCCCTCGAACCGGTTCTCTTACGGGGCTGCCATCTTGATTTTCGGTTCTGCGCATGCACAGAACAATTGTAATTGCACAAAAAATTTTTAAACGTTTCGCGCATGCACAGTCCTATTTCTGTGCAAATCCGCACACGTCTGGAGTGCGCATGAGCGAAGCGAGATTTTTGCACGCACCGAACCGGCAGTAATGCCGAGAACAAGCCAACCCTGATTTAGACATCTGAAATGGCTGTGTTTCAGAAGAGAATTTTGGAACACAAAATAACACAATTGAAAGGGACTTTGGAGGTCTTGTAGTCTAACCCCTTCCCGAAGGAGGAGACCCTATCCCATTCCAGACAAATGTTGCCCAATCTCTTCTTAACAACTTCCAGTGTTGGAGCACCCACAACTTCTGGAGGCAAGTCGTTCCACTGATTAATTGTCCTCACTGTCATGAAATTCCTCCTTAGTTCTGGAGAGAGAGGGAAGGAGGGAGAGAGGTATGTATACCCTCTCTTGAGCTTTGCCCTTGAGCTTCCTATTCCTGTGCAAGAACATGTATTCTACTGGTTGTCAGACTCCCATAGGGTTATGCAGGGGTCATAGCTAACTTGATTGAAGCCTTGGCTCTCTGGGGTGATGTAATGAGAAGGCCTGTGAACCAAAAGGGTGTTGGGCTATTCCTATTGTGTCTTAATGGCTTCCCCAGTTTGGATCTTGAGTGCGGGTTCATCCTACCATTCTACCTACCGTATGTTTCAGCATATAAGATGCACCTTTTTCCCTCAAGAAAGAGGCTGAGGCTCAAGGAGAGGTTGCAACCAACATGGACATCATCAAGCCCAGAAAATAGAAATGGATAATGAGGTGTGGGTTTCTTCTTCTTCTTTTGATAGCAAATGCAGCTGGATCCCCACAAGCTCGAAATCGGTGGAAAACTTGACCTCTTCAGCAGACCCCCAGCTCCCGGCGTCTTTCCTGGCTTCCATTATTCTCAAGATCTTGCCCGGCCCCTCTTCTCCAGCACAGGTGAGGGGAAATCCCTGCTGATGCACACATCACACAAAAAAGAAGTGCCCTAGATCAGTGCCCCCCCCCCCCCAGCCTTTTGGGCACCGGGACTGGTCCTGTGCAGAGAGGTTTTTCCACAGACTGGAGAGGACTGGTTTGTGTTTACTCTGACTTCGGCTTACCAAGAGCCTGAAGCAAACTCCTGGTCCCGACAAAAACCCCTTTTATGAATTGACTGTCAATTCTGCTCATTCACATCCAGCAAAGTCTTTCAAGGGAGGATTGACCGTCACAGACCTTATCTGACTTGGAGAGCTGCCAGGCCAATATCTGCAAAACTTGGCAAGAAGTCTTGGAGAGTCACGAACCAATTAAGTGAACTAATTGTCTCCTGCAAACTCCACTCTCCTTTGACTCCTCTTTTATTTCCTCTGGGAGGGGCCCTTCACTGTCCACCTGTGGCCTTACTCCCAAGTCGACCCCTGTTCTTTAGCT